AATTAGCAAGTTTCACAATGAATGCGGCTAAAGTAAACAGTCCCTTAGAGAGCGGCTCAGAAGAGAGGGCGGGGTCAGCAGAGCTCATTAACATTTAAAGGGAAATGCTACAAAACTGCTTGCTCTGAAAAGAGCGGTTTTTGACAGGGTAAAAAATGTGTTTTTTACACTTCCATTGAGATATTTTAACCAAACTATGTTACAGACTTTTCATTAAGACCCTAAAGAATCACATCAACTTGTGGAAAATGGGCATCGGATGACCCCTTTAATAATGTAGATGAAAATATAGCACAAATCTGCCATAAATATAGCATTATGAGAACTTTATGTCCTTGCCTGTGTTTCAGCGTGCTGTCATGAAAGTGCATCACGGCGGGAGCTCTCTCTCGCATCCCTTTGTGCAGATACAAGTTGTAATGTTACGTCTATGTTACGTATCCAAGTTGTCTGATTAATATCATAGGATGTGTCATAGTACGGGCTTCAGTTTATTGGCATAGTCACTCTTCACCTCAGGCAGCTATTCCTTTTTAGATGCTTCTTTATTAATAACATTGCTGCATCATAATCTAACAGTGTTCCAATCACGTGTTCATGTTTTCATAGATAGGTTTTCATGTCATTTTTATTTTTAACATTCATTTTCATAACAGTCTGTAGATATTTTCATTATCTCCATTACGGAGATTTGCCCAGAAAACTGCAGTGCATTATATTAAGTACAGTGTATATTTCTCTCTCGGCTAACAAGGACAACGCACTCAAAGAACTGCATGACATGATCAGCAGGCATGAGAACTCATACCCAGATGCTGCTATTGTTATCTTAGGAGACTTTAACCATTGTGATCTCCGGAAAAGCAACCTCCGATTTCACCAGTTTGTGAACTTCCCCACCAGGGAACCTTGGACAAATGCTACAGTAACACTGGAAGTGCTTATACTGCTGTCTCCAAGCCGCATTTTGGGAAATGTGACCACCTTGCTATTCTGCTATAGTCCACCTACATCAAAAGGCTCAAAGCAGACCCAGACACGGTTAGGACTGTGAAGATGTGGACTGATAACACATTAGCAGAACTGCAGGGCTGTTTGGAGGCCACATATATGCAAATTGTTAAGGAAGCCACAGACGATATACATGAATACACAGACACTGTTAGCAGCTTTATTGACTGGTGTACTTCTATTTGCATCCCCTCCAGAATTAGCATTGGAGTATTTCTCAGTCAGAAGCCTTGGTTCAATGGGGATGTGCGCATCAAAATCAGGAACCGGTGCACAAAAATCCATCATGGCCACCAAAAGGGTATACACCCAGAGACCTGAGAGCTGCTACAGGGAAAACAACACAATAAGAATATGGCAGGGAATCCATTTGAATTACTAACTACAGGAAAGATGCAGTCAGAACTGTGATCCAAAACGGCTCTCTAATTGATAACCTTAATAGCTTCTTCGCCAGATTTGACCAATACAACAGAGACACTCCCTTAAAGGCCCTCTACAACCCAGCAGAGACTGCACTCCAGGTAACATACACACTCGAATAAAAATCCACATTCGAATGCAAAAACATTGCATTCGAATTTTAGGAGTGCGTTAAGGAGGCAGCCTTATCAGTGGTGCACGAGATGCGATGGCGATGTAAGTGTCATCGCATTTTAATGTTTTTGTTAGCCTATCCAGTTGAAGCCAGTAGATGCGGCGCAGCTACGTTGTTAATTACAAATATTGCGGGAAAAGAGAACATCAATGCGGAGATCATCTCGTTTACGTCAAAACTGAAACCAAGCCGTTCACACAGAACGCATATTTTCTAGAGGGACATCTATCACTGTTGCACTCGCATCTCGCACAAAAGAGCAGCATGTTTAAAAAGCCATGTAAAATTAACGCAAGTTCAATTTTGAGAAAACATTTCTCGAGACTTTATGGCAGGTTTTTTCCCCATCCCACTGCAACTCGTGTTTTTAATGCCATGAAGTGTCTGGAGAAGCTGCTTCTGCAGTGGACCCTTTTCAGTTTGTCTACTGCTCGAACAGATCAGTGGACAATGCGGTGACACTGGCACTTCGCTATATCCTGCAGCACTTGGATACTCACAACCATGGGTGAAATTATCAATTTACATTAATAAATTTAATGTATTATCAATTTACATTAATAAATGTAAATTGTTAGTCATGGAATCCCTGATGTCGGCCCCGCTGCAATTGACCTATCGGTAAACCCTTCCCCTCGAACGCAGATGAGCCAATGGCAGTTGAGTATCAGTTGCACGGGGAGCAGAACTCTGACATCTTTAGGTTTCAGCAACATAGAGAAGCATTGGAAGCATTGGAAGCTCGCATCAGTTTAATGCAGTTAATGCAGTTTAATCAGCTGGAGCTCTTAATTTTGAACTCTCAAAGTGCACCAGATTTATGATTTTAACTTTAAAATGTACAAAATATTCTTAAGGGGGAGTATGCCCCCGGACCACCCTAGAGGGATCTAGGACCGCCCACCACAGTCTCACAAAATCCTGTGGGAAACACTGGATTGTTTCTTTTTTCCTCACGTGACTCGCCTTTGGTAA